CGAGAAACAGAACAGGTTTAATTTATGCATCTTATTTAGTAAAAAAAATGTGTGAATGAAGAATTAAATAATGAAATGCACCTGCCTTTGGATACCTTGAAATATGTAATGGTGTTTCCTTGAACTTTTTTTGTCCTTTTATTTTTTCCATAAAAGGGAAGATCTTTACAATGGGCAAGGTCCACGGCTCACTCGCTCGCGCCGGTAAGGTCAAGAACCAGACCCCCAAGGTCGCCAAGCAGGACAAGAAGAAGGCCCCTCGCGGCCGTGCACTTAAGCGCTTAAAGTACACTAAGCGCTTCCTGGCTAAGACCCTGAAACCTGGCGAGAAGGTGCACATGAATAAGCAGCCGCCGGGTAAGGCTGGCTAAGGCAGATAAATCTTCCAGTATTTTTTTGTTATTTATGTATTGACACATATATAATATACCCCCTTATTTGAAAGAGTTCTAGATCCGATTTTGTTACTCTCATTCTCCGTTTTCAAACTCCTTTTTACCCATTGTTTCTAACTTTTCTACCACATCTTTCGTCGCAACATATTGGATTCATGGAAGAAGAAGTTCAAATGAAATGGGGTGTTTAAATTCCAAATCGGTTTCCAGGAGGCAGAAAGCCCGATTAACAGATGGGAGGGCGTCCGAATCAGGCGAAAAGAATGCAACGCTGAAGAAGGCCCCAAACAAGATAGCAGCCTCCCTAAAGAATGAAGATATGCCGATGCAATATAAATCTTCTCCGACGAATCAACATGGCTCAATGAACTCCTTCGAGCAGTTTTTGCTCTCCGTATTGGAAGGGGCAGAAGATTTATTTTGTAACCTGCCTGAATCTCAGGCGGTAAAAAAAGTTATCGCATTGACTTTCATGAATTCATGCGTGGAAGTTACCCGGACAAAGTTTCGCCTGAAATTTGACGTTATTATAGATATGGCCAGTAAACTGACTCGTGGTCTAAGGTCAAATTTATTGTATGGATCCTTAGAAAGTGTGGAGGAGCGCACAATGGATGATAGCTTTTCTAGAATTCTATTAGCCTGGTATGTCAACAATCCATCATTCGAAAAAATAATACCTCCGGAAGCTGGTCAAGCTGTTCTAGACACCCTGTACATTCGTTATACGACAACTAAACCTGTTACCTTTGAGGATATACTCAGGTTTCAGTTCCATTGGATACTTCTTAATCAGGCTGCCGTAGAAGTATATTACAAGATTTCAAGGGGGAAGGATCTCGTATCCATTAAGCAACTAGGAAACTTCCTTCGTGAGGTACAATGTGTTGAAACCACTGATCACCAATTAATGGAAAAGTTCAAGTTTCGCTTTGGTGGTGGCATTCATAAGTATAACTTTACTAGTTATAACGGAAGTGTATTGACTAATAACGCCATAGACCCTGCACGGACATCGGATATCTGGCAAGACATGACCCAATGTTTCACACATTATATGATAAGTTGTGCTCGTATCGAAACTGAGAACGATCTGAAATGGTTCATAAATGGTACAGCCAGGGCACTTGTGTTAAACATCAGGAAAGGCGATGACGGGTCGATTTGCTCCGGGTCTTGTCCTTTGCAAACTATGTTAGATTATATCAAAAAGAATGCATTCACCACGAACACATATCCCATCATTCTATGCTTCTTGCCGAGTTCCGCCTTTACCATAGAATTACAGGACGAGGTGGCTATGCTTCTGAACGAAACGCTTGGTGCGATGCTTGCCAAGGGCCCTATCTTCGAGGGAGCCATCATTACTGACCCGAAGTTCAACCCGAGTGCTCTGCGCAAGAAGTTCCTCGTTATGGCTACCCAGTCCGCACTCAAGCCATTCATCGGTTTCATGGTGGCGGATATGCACAAAGATGGGCTTGGTGTGCGCGTGGCACATGTTGTGGAAGGGACCCCAGCGGCGAAAAGTGGGCTTCTAAAGGATGACTGGCTCACTCATATCAACAATATGCCCATCAAAAATAAAAAGAATCTGCGAGAATGTCTATTGAACCTAAAAGTCGGTGAGGATTTTACAATTAAGCGTGAGAACCTTGATGAGATAAAAATAGTGGTCGGCGGGATTGTCGATCCGGACGATACATCCGCGTCCTCAGCTCTCTCAGCTGTGACGTTTTTTAGATTCGCATCGGGGAAAGATTATAAACCCTGCGACGTCGAGGTGATTAACACGGATAAGATTCCATCTCTATGCGATAAAAATTGCGACACATACTGGGATCATCTTGCCTTTGTGAGCTTCAACTCAACCTCAAATGATACAATGAGTTACGAGGGCGTGTGCTCGAACGCAGGTATCCAGTTCATTGACGTGGACAACAGCGAGCGTTCTGTTGCGTGGTCTATAGGCCGCTTCTTTGATAATGGGCGGTGCGGGTACTTGCTCAAAACGGATGCGGACGCCAATACAACGACGGATCTTGTCATGAAGATCATCTGTGGGCCGCGCTCGATGTGTTGTCCACCACTTTCGGAAATGACTGTCACGGTCCACGGTAACGGATCGGTAAGGAAGAATGGCAGACAACTCACATTCACAGGGACGAATGTCAGGACCATTGTGGTGGTGAACATGGTCTTTGAGAACGACTGTGTCGAGCGGAGCTTCACGACATCGTTCTGTCCATTGCTTATCCGGCCTGGATATCGTGCCCTCCCCTCCTTCATTACCGGAGATAAGTGTCCCCCGAAAAGTCAACTCCACGGAATCTATGTTTTCTCCAGCCGCTAGCAGTAGCACTAAACGACTTTCGGTGGAAAACGGATGACCACTTAAAGTTTTCGAATTTCTTCAAGGGTACTATGCTGGACCTGTTCTCATCATCATTGTGAAGGGTTTTCCTATTACTAAGCTATCTTTCTCGAGCAGGCGAAGAACACGCGTAAACTGAGTGAGGATGGTTGTGGCGACATTTAAGGATAATAAAAGGAATCAAAATGAAATATAAGTGGTGTCTTGAGACAGAAGGTAACATTTGAGACGAAAATAAATATGGAGGTTTGTTGAACAGAAGTTTATGTCAAAGATATTTGAGGAGAACGAGTACATTCTTTAATCAATATTCATAATAAGTGCTGTTCTGGTTGAATCGTCGGCATTATGTATACAAACATGTACTTCATCGTCTAGGGCCCTCCAGATAAATAGTTAATATAGTAGCAACGTATTGTTTATAAATCATGAGGCAGGGGATGGGTGGAATTGGCTATATGTAGGCATACAAATTTTAATTTTAAACATTAAATTGCGTGGATAAGGTAGAATAATGATTATATCGAGCAAGTCACAAGATGTATCAAAAGCGGTTTCGTCTCTTACGAACTTTATACACTTGTTTTTCGTAGAATATCCATCCCTGATATCAATAGAATTCTGTACAAATGAAAATAATGTAATTTGGCGCGTATATTCAAAAAGGGAAGAAAATAATAATAATAATAACTTAAAATATCTACTAAATAGCAAAACTTCGTCCACAAATTATTTAGTTGTCTCAATAGTTCGCAATCAGCTTGTTTTTTTGGAAGCTAGAGTTGCATCATGATCCACATAATTTTTATTGCGCTGTATTTCATTAAGTGATAAATGTATATATATCATCGTAATGTTTGGATTCATATCTTGGTATAGAAATTTCACTTTTACCACTGCACTTCTGGGGGTGTGGAATGGACCTAGATGGGATTTATACCGTCTTAAGTTTGATTTTAAAATGCTTCGTAGGACTTTCAAACGGCTTTTGGGCTACACACCCATTAACCCAGATACTTCACCTATGGTAGCCTACAGCCAATACCACTGGCATTACAACCTCCCGCAGGGTATGGACCGTCCACATAGCGTCAATCGGACCCTTCCCGCACCTTTCCAAAGCATGCATAGTTCTGTTAATAAATATCGTGGCGTGTGGGTTCCGACAGACATGGATCCCGCCTTCCTTGTCGCCTTAGAACCGCAGCTAAAAAAATTGCCTCACGGCAGGTGCGTTCCAAAAACCCCTGTAGAAGAGGTTGTGTCGGAATTCACAAAATTAGCCCCACTTATCGATGACAAAGACGCAAAGGATGCATGGCTTGCAAAAATATTCCAGCATTGCGGCTTTCAGCGAAGCGGTAGTCAGGCAGTGGAATTGTGGGAGCAATACTGTAAGCCACGCTTTATGGATAGTGGGGAAAAGCCGCCCCTTCCATTAATTAACGCGATTCTCTTTTGTTATAGCAAGTCAGATCACGTCGGGTGGAAGCCTATATTCGAGAAATGCTTGAAGCACGGGTGGAACTATACCCCATTCTTTGATACACCCCAATGGAGCTATCTGCTCAAAAGCGTAGGAAGACAAGGTGATGAAGAGGGTGTACAATTGATATTGGAGGAGATGCTGGATGTGCAGGCAGATTTAGATCGAATAGCAGCTCGATCGATCGTTATTGCGCTAAACGCTGTGAAGAATGCATCTATTTACAACTTCATCAAAAGGTACCTTTTCCATTTTGGGGAGCGCAAGGTGAAGTTTCTGCGCATAACATACTCTGATTTGCGTGGGCATGGGGCCACCAAACTTCGAGTTCCTCTAGTGGAAAACGATGCGATGTATTACCATGTGTGCTGGCATGCTAGCATCCGCTTACCAAGACAGTTTTCACCCCGACAGCTATACTTTGACTATACCCCATCGACTCTTTCTGCGAACATGCATAGCCCTAACGCCAAGATTGATGATATTGTGAAAGATAAGATCGAGAAGTGGAAGATAGAGGGACTTCTTCCAGAGGATTATGTGCATGAGGATCGCGTATACGATCGCACCACTGCGTTCAAGAATATTACACGACAGGAGAGATGGAAGAAGGTCCCACGTTTGGTCAAAAGCAAGCGTTTAGGTTATACTGGTGACTAGGAACTACGAGAGTTAGTTAGGGATTTGTTATTTCAAAGTGGTATATTAGTTCTCCTTGCTACCGACCATGTACAAGGGATTGCGGTAGAAGGAACCAATGAGTGTCTGTGTAAAATACTTGAGCCTTTTCGATGCTTCGTCTTATGATAGATTCGCATCTATTATATCATGCTTAATTATTATCGTCCTCTTCTTGCCATTTTCTTTCCCTATTATCGTCTTTCTGAGTGAAAAGTTGGAATGCTCCGCTCTATCATAAAGTGCTCGAGATCATTACACAACTCAACCCCACTAGTAGAAGGGGCTCTTCAGCTTTATAAGTTGTACTTGGCACACCGAAATGCAGCTTCAGATAAAAACACAGAGGCATGCCAGGCCATTGAAGATGAATTTTTAAAGGAAGTGGAAACACTTCGGCCATTTTTTACCATGTCTGCCTCTCTAGAAGTGGCACAGCAGTATTCTAAGCAGACATACCGTTCTCTGAAGTATTTCGGACTTCACGATGATCCACTTACCCGGCAACTGGATCAGCTTTTAGGTCGCGAGGCCATGCGAAAGACCGCGCGAGGAGCGCAAAGCATATTTAAAGGAGTGACGCCAAGCAAATCGATGTCGGGAAGCCAGAACTTGTCAAGGGTATTGACCTCTTTATATGAACGGGCGGAGACGACTTTACCCAGCGAATTACCGAATCCCCCAAAGATCGATGAAACAATCCCGCGCCGTCCAGGTGCGGTGCGGGTGCCACTCCGTCATCGTGGGCACTGGGTGTTGCAGGAACCCGAAATCGCTATCACAAAGAACGAGCGCCGCGAGGATCCCTGGTAGCCATTAAAATTGGCGTGAGATGATTGCCTTTGCATCACTGTATGTTTGACGATATCGCTCGCATTTACATTATATGTGAATGTATGACTCTTCTCAGAAGAATAGAAAAATGCATACGCTTGGATGGGATCACTATTATTTTTTTTTAATCACATCTATACTCTCTCCAAATATATGAAACACAAAAGTAAACTTGTGAGCTAGACCAAAAATGGGCGATATTGAGGATCCCGTTCCTTTATTATTTACCTCTGGTTCACCGAGCCTGCTGGCTCAGTATGTGCCGGACAGGCTTATGACAAACAAGGATGAAGAAGGAAGCCCTATCATGTTTGGCGATCTAGGGTCTTCCGTCACGCATCATTTTGCGCCATTCAGTGTAGTCTATGGCGATGCTGCGCGGCTTAAACTCCAGTCCTATGTAGTGGTGCAACGTGGAGCGATTGTTCGGCCACCGCTACGTCCTCTGGTCAACCAACTGGTAGCGCAATCAGTCGCATCGGTTGACATTGGATATTTTACCATTATTGGGGAAAAAACCGTTTGTGAAGCGGCAGAGGTCGGCAACTTTGTACGTATCGATGCTCAGTGCGTGATCGGAAGTCGTGTCCGAATACCCGATGGGGTGTGGATTAGGCCGCGCAGCTGGATCCCACCGGATGCAGTTCTAGCACCGTACACGGTCTACGAAGGAAGCCCTGCGATGTCCCTTGGTCGAATCGATTATGACGCATATCGCCTTGGACAAATGGAGTTTATACGAGAGTGCGTAGATTGGTAGCATTTTATGTTGTACCTATGCCTGCCGTTCCTCATATCCCTTTTCGAATCAATATGTAGTCAAACAGTAAATAACGCAATATAAATGCGATATGCATGCATTTAACACTGTATTTCATGTTTTTCACCCACATGCATATATACGTATATTAGCTTTTCTACACAGAAGAAACACAATCAAAACGCAAGCCTTTCGTCACTTTTTTACGAAGCGAATTCCAGCAAGAATGTCTGCGAATGCTGAATCAAATATAAAGTCCATCATGGAAGAGATTGCGCAACTTAAAGCGCAATTGGCCGAAAAGGAAGTGCTTCTCTGTGTAGAAGGGGGCGTTATTTCCAAAAAGTCAAAGAAAAAGGGTCAGGAGAGCAAGATCGACACAGAGCCTGTACAAGGTTGCCGCGACTTCCCACCAGAAGAAATGCGCATGCGCAAGTATCTCTTTAACGCATTTCACACAACGGGCCAGACGTTTGGCTTTGAGGAGTACGACGCACCTGTTCTGGAGTCCGAGGAGTTGTACATCCGTAAGGCAGGCGAGGAAATCACGGAGCAGATGTTCAACTTCGTTACGAAAGGCGGCCATCGCGTGACGTTACGGCCGGAAATGACCCCTACCCTCACCCGCATGCTCCTCGCCAAGGGGCGCTCCCTCCTGTTGCCCGCGAAGTGGTACTCTATCCCACAATGTTGGCGCTATGAGACCATCACGCGAGGTCGCCGTCGCGAGCACTACCAGTTCAACATGGATATTGTTGGAGTGAAAAGCATCGCAGCGGAGGTGGAGTTGGTGTGTGCCATCTGCTTTACGATGGAGCAGCTGGGGCTCACGAGCAAGGATGTCGGCATCAAGGTGAACTCCCGCAAGGTGCTACAGACCTTCGTCACACAGGTTGGCGTGTCTCCCGAGCTGTTTGCCCCTGTCTGTATTATCGTGGACAAGATGGAGAAGCTTCCTCGTGAGGAAGTGGAGCAAGAGCTGGCGAAGCTCGGACTTTCTCCGAATATTATCGAAACCATCACAAGCACTCTTAAAATGGGGTCTCTGGATGAAATTGCTGAAAAAATCGGCGCCGATCACGCGGCGGTTGTGGAGTTGAGGAGCTTTTTTGATTTGATTGCGGCGTACGGCTACGCAGATTGGGTCCTCTTTGACGCCAGTGTGGTCCGTGGCTTGGCCTATTACACTGGTATCGTGTTTGAAGGCTTCGATCGGGAAGGCAAATTTCGAGCTATTTGTGGTGGCGGAAGGTACGATAATCTCCTGTCACTTTACGGTAGCCCCAATCCAATACCATGTGCTGGTTTGGGTTTCGGTGATTGCGTTATCGTAGAGCTTTTAAAGGAAAAGAATTTGCTTCCTTCGATCCCGCAGAAGATGGATGATGTGGTTATTCCATTTGATGAGTCCATGCGTCCTGCAGCACTCAAGATACTCAAGGCTTTACGTAGTCAGGGTCGCTGCGCTGATATCATAATGGAAAAGAAGAAGATCGTCCAGGCCTTCAGCTATGCTGACCGTGTTGGCGCGGTCCGTGCGGTACTTGTGGCCCCAGATGAATGGTCCAGAGGAGAAGTTCGAGTAAAAATGCTCCGTGAGGGGGGAGGAAAAGATTCTAATGATCGCGGAATATCGATCAAGTTCGATGATTTATAAGTTTATATGATTGTCTTTCCTTCTATTAGTGAGACTTTAGTGAACACTTTTTTACTCGACATAAATGAATTGTGGTTGGAAATCTTCTCTGATTATCGGATAATCTAGCTGAACTCCTTGATGTCAGCACGCATCAAGCCGCATTCATTCTACGGTGAATGGATTAAATATCAACTTTATATGATTGCTTCCTTTTGTGTGTGCATAAAAGCTTTATAAACGTGTGTGTAGGGAAAACGGACAAAAATAAGGGACTTATTTAAATAGCAATGACTGAATTTGAGGTTGACGTAGGACTACTCACCATCACAGACACACTTGTCGTGAGCGGTCCTATGCGTAAAGAAGAGGACATAATGGAATCATGCAAAAAGGCCCTCAAGGTGCTCCTGGGCGAGTTTGAAACCCTCCCTGTAGAGACCAAGAAGGGCAAATTTGATGGTATCGTCAAACTTGTGAAGCTCCCTCAGTCGGTTATGAGGCTTCCTCGTGAAAAAGCCCCACCTAAGGCGAAGCCGCTCACTGCTTGGCAGAAGTTTGCTCTCAAAAAGGGTATTGACATCCACCGAAAGAAATCTAACCGGGTATTTGATGAGGATAGACAAGAATGGAAGGATAAGTGGGGTAAACGTGCACGTGAAGATAGGGAGAAGTATGATTGGCTGCGTGAAGTGAAGCCAGGATACATGCCTTCTGAGGAGGGTGGGGATCCGTTCCTGGATGACCGTCGCGCCAAACAGGCACGTCTAGAGACGCAGAAGAAGAAGGAAGAGCATAATAAACGTCGTTCAGAGCACATTGCGCAGGCACAGAAGGAGGTCAAGCACCTCGAGGCGGCAACACGTCATCTGACTACTGCATCCAACGGCAAATTCGAATCAGGTAAGCCATTTCGAAAGAAAAATAAAATGCCTAAATAAGCCTAGCATCGGAATGGGTATGTAGTTTACCCTTCAAGTACTTTAATAGCAAAGCTCATGCCTAATCAAACTACTGTGAGCTTTCTAAGAACTAAACGCGCTTAAGATTTAATGTTTTTTTTACTATTATTCGCTGTTTCACCAAATGGGTTACTAATTTGTGATATGGTTTTCCCTCTTTCACTACTTCACTGCGAAACTCTCTCTCTCCCTCTATTGTCTTCTCTTCTATATTTATTAGGCGTTTATTTCTTAAAAGCGCATTTACGACCACTTTACAAGATCTTCAAGGCAGCTCAAATGCTTTTTCTCAAGAAGAAAAATGCTGCTATTTGTGATTTCTTAGACACCGTGTGATGTGCATGAGTGAACTTCTGCAGTATATTTGATTTATCATGCGATTAAAACAAAATTTACTCGTGAAACATGGTGTTTTGCATATCTACTGTTTTTTTCTTTGGTATGTGTGCGTGTTTTCTTGGGGTAAATCCTAAAGATACATGATACCTGGTAGTGAAAACAATTTTCTAGAACGGAGAAAAGAAGACCACATTATATTTTTCTCATTCTGGAATCGATTTTTCGCTCCATTAAACAAAGAAACAAAATACCAGGTATGTATTCCAATATAATCTCACCATTGTCAATCTTTGTTTCTCACTGCTCTTTTATCTATTCTGCCCATATTTAGATTAAAGTATTAGCTTCTAAAACTGTAAGAGAAGAATTCATTTCGGCTTCTTTTGTGCATATAAGTCATTTCCCAGTTAAAACGCATGAAAAAATCAATATGGACGATCCTAGTAAAATTGCCTTTACGCTTCAAGATATTCGTGAACGCCTAGCAAAGAACAAAAAGCACTGCGTGGTTATTATACATGGCCTTGTGTGCGACCTTACTAACTACGTAAATGAACACCCCGGCGGTGTTGATGTTCTTTACCGCAATAATGGCAAAGACGTCACATCTGTCTTTGACGCCTTGCATAGTCGATCAACACGACGCAGCGTACAGAAATGGGCAATCGGGCATTTGGTGGAACCATCATTGGAATCGGATTCTACTTGTAGTGGTCTGTCGACACAGCAGAAATAAAATGAAAAAAAAAAGAAACTATGTGGATAGCATCTTATTCAGGAGCATACGTTGATAGAGTCTCTCCTCATCTCAAATAAGGCGACATACCTCCTAGTCCTCTTCAAAGCGAAAGAGACAAAATCTATGGACTGAAAAAGAGTTTTCATCGTCAGATTTATGCATATTAGTACTTTTGGGATCAAATCTAACTAAATAATAGTATGCATCTCGTGCACTAAATCCAGCCAGAATTTTACACAATGCTGCTTAATCATCTGCGAATTTATATACGAAGTTATTGGTTTTATACCACAATGGATTGTGAAGAGGTAAATATATGGTCAACTTCAATGGTTTAAAAGAAGTAAAATATGGGTTGATGGCTATTCATTACAAAGGGTTGGACATTATAAAAAATTGCGAAGGATAGGTGTACATTTTTAAAAGATGCGTATTTTATTATCATTAGCTCTATTCTTGAATTTAAAGATTGAAGTCAAACCGGAATGGCAAAAATATGCCCATTTGTGATCTGTCTGAGCTATTTTTTTCAAGGCTCCCCTAAATTTGCCCAACATTCACTGGATTGGTATGGCATTGATTCCCCTGTGATACACGAAGAGTTCAGCAAAAACACGTTGGTGCCATAAGAGTGGCTTTTTCTTTCCATGGAAAAACAAAAGCGCATAACCATTTACGTAGCAAAGTATCCAACAAATACATAATTTAATGGTAAAATAAAAGTAATATGAATTCACGCAACTGATTGTAGGTATGGGAAATGCACATCATTCTATATGACGGCTATAATGTTGTCTCTGAAATATTTTTTTTGTCATCCCATACCCCCTGATTTATCGTATAAGCTTGCTACTCAACACTATATCTGTAAATGGTATCAAATGCTCTAACTTTATAGAATGTGATGCTATAATTTCTCCTCACCTTATTTTATCATTCCTTCCGTTATTTGGGTGCATTTTTAGTCATTATTTTACTTAATTTAGTGAGAGCACATTCCGCAAATTTTGTGTGCTGCTTTCCTAATCCCCTTTAGGGTTGTAGAGAGAATCTGCACCAGTAAAAAACAAAAGGGGTCCTAAATTCTGAAAAAGGGAAAAGGAACATACATAATTTACTCACCATTTATTCAGTAAATATTACTCTACAGAAACTCATTTTATGCTGATAATAAGGTAGTTCCGCTTTTCAGAAAAAAGTTGTCTCTTGCTTAGTGTTTTTTGTGTAGTTTTATTAAAAGAAGCCTTTTCTTTCGGGTTAATCGGGGGTGCTTTATAATTTCTGGTTTATCCCTCAAAATTTTACTGACTTATTTCCTTTGTTTTACATCAATTATTTCATTAAAAATTGGCGTGCTATGGAACACGAACAGCTGATTTGCTTGGCTACAACAAGAGGCACAACAGATTTAGACGGTGCAGGGCTCACATCCTGTAATCAAACCCCCCGATCTAGTGGCGCTTCCCCATGTCGTATCATCAAACCCAAGACAACTTGTGGCTTTCAACTATTGCAATTGGACGCTGAAGCCTCAGGTTCATTATTTTTCTTTAGTCCCCCAAGTACCGCAAGCGAACACTCAGTTAGTGAAGTATTCAGCTCACTCCACAGTTTTACTTCGGACAACACGAAGGAGGACCATTTGGCGCCATTTATGGAGCGCCAAGGCCAAAAAGCGTGGTCAGGGACCACATTGGACGGAGCAAATAAGAGTACTCGTAAGCGGTGTCAGCCTTCTCGCCACAGCTGCGTGAAAGCATACAATAAAGGCACCAGCACATCCAGCCGCAGCGATAATAACTCCATTTATAACTCTTTCGAGGCGTTCTCCTTAAGTGTCTGTTCAAGACAGTTTTCATTACATTCGGTAAAAAGTGTATCCTGCATGCCGATCCCTGAAAGTGTCCAGAGCTGCAGTCTCACATGTTTTGCTGATTACTCGTCGTCGCGTGTGAATGCAACAAACTGGCCCCGATGCCATATGCTACGACCGCAGCCGATGAGCGGGTGCTCCGACAGCTTTGCTAGGCACTACAGCGAATCCTCGACGCCACAGATTGATCGGATGAACCTTTGTAAACATTCCAATAAAGCATGTAGTGTCGATCATACAGCGGCGCGATCGGATAGCGTCCAAAGTGTGTTGCCATCTAGTCCAAGATGGCAACAGTCGCTACCTGAGAAAGAGAAATCAAATAGTTCTCGGCATTCCACACCACGGTGTCAGAAGTCGATCTCTCTGGCTCTCTTCCCCCAGGGCGCCACGAAGAATAATGACACGTGTATCGGGGAGGCCTCAACTACGCAGAAAAACTACATGGAAGTCACGAGTTCTTGCGATACAAATACCCACACGGATTCTGGGAAGCCCATCAACAGTCAGGATTTTCTAGATCAAAAAGACAAGGACACAAAGGAGGGATTATCTGACGGAATCTGCACTGGCGGTTCTTCGACCGAGATTATGAACTCTCCTACAGAAGATAAGCTCTGGCACGTGTGGCAGGCCAAGAAAGAAATGCGCGTTGGTAGAGGGAGCTCCGGCGATGTGTATCGTGGAATCGACTTGGATACAGGTCGCACCATTGCCATCAAGGAGATTCTTGTTCCGAAAGATTTTTCGAAAGATATGGAAAAGCAACTCCAGTTATTGGAGCGAGAGATTAATGTTATGCGTAAGCTTCGGCATCCTAACATTATAAACTATTTAGGCGCAGCGCGTGAGGGTAATTGTATTAAGGTCTTTATGGAATACGTTCCTGGTGGTACTCTGGGGGATCAGCTAAGATGCTCTGGTCCCTTATCCGAAGATCAGGCACGGCATTACACTAAACAGCTCCTGTCTGGGCTTGAATACTTACACAATCAGCGTATTGTACACCGAGATTTGAAAGGGGATAATCTGTTTTTGCACAAAGACAATGTTCTCAAGCTGGGTGACTTTGGCACGAGCAAGGAGTTGGCCACGACGCTTGTTACTGACTCTGTCGCGGGGACGCCGAATTTTATGGCGCCTGAGGTGATTGCTTGCAGTGGTCACTCCTATGCAGCTGATATCTGGTCTGTGGGTTGCTGCGTGGTGGAGATGCTTGTCGGGAAGCCGCCTTTTTCCTCTTTAGATAACCACATGGCTGTGATGTTCGCAATCATCAAAGGAAAGGTGGGCGACGAGATGCCGGCGCACGCTTCCGCAAGCGCCAGAGACTTCTTCCGGGCCTGCACGCAGCATGAGCCGAAGGATCGGTGCTCCGCGCGAGAGCTCCAGACACATCCGTGGATCCTCGGGGGGGAACCCCTCAAACGTAGTTCCGTCACCAGTCGGACGTCGGTCGTGCTGAAGAAATCGAAGAAGCGGTTGCTTAACTCGTCAGAGAAGTCCAACACGAGGGGCCGCGACCGCTCGAAGAAGTCGCAGCCCCGCACCGTCATCCCACCCCTCCCAGTGGCGCGTAACGCGTTGGCAACCACCGTCGTTCCGAGCGCGCCCAGGAGGCGGCGGTCGCCCGCGAAGGACACCAATCCCATCGTAGTGCACCTCCCGAGGGCCGGTTCCTCCGGCGTCGCGGATTTAGACTGCGGGGAAGGAGACGTGACGAGCAGCGGGGAGATCTCCTCCCGCATCGGGGAGACGCATCCCATGAAGGCGCAGCACCTCACTCGGGGCCGCGTCCCGAACCACCCTCCGAGCTCCATGGAGTCGATGACGCTTTCCTCCCCGTCTAGCATCCGCTCACCGGGGTACATGCAGCCGAAGGTGGGAAGATTTAGTATGGATTCCTCTGCAAAGCTTCCCTTGCGTGGAATCGTGCATCGAAAAGGGAATTGCCGCGATGCGGCGACAAAAATTGGTAGTTGCTTGAATAGTAAGGCGAAAAAAACATCCTCGGTCGCTGGTTATGAGTATGGTACTGGAGTGTAGGGAATTTTCACCCTTCAGATGATTTCAAATTTTTCGAAAGACACACTTCTATGGAACTGCATATACCAAACTCTGGGAACGCAATAATTCAAAATTGCAACGAGCATGCTCTCATACTCAACCTCAGTGATGATACATGTTGTGCTTACAGACTATTCCTCTAGGCAGTATTGCATATTAGTACTCTTATAAAGTTGAAACCATGTTCTCTTTCAACACACTTGATATAAGTATGAAGCAGGCAATAAGCATAGCGTTTTACATACTGCATGCAAAAGGGATCTCAACAGGGCTGTGAAAGTCATCTAAAATTCGACAGAATTCCCCTTAGTACTTATTTTATACGTCATTTATGATTCAAATTTTACAAAATAAAGAGACGTAAAGGAAAACATTGCCATGATTTTAGATAGTGGATTCATTTACCAAACTCGAATGTTGTGTCACCCCTTTCTTAAATAATTGTTTTTTTGTCTTATTTTCATCTCATAGTTTGTATCGGAAGCTTGTCAATCCCTGAGTTGTCTAATTAGCGTTAGTGTCTGGTAAATTAACTTAATGCAATCGATTATGCCGGAGTCGATATTGGCGTACTTAATTATTTGAATATTTTTAAAATTCGGTAGTAATAATTTGCCTCTTCTTCGTTCTAATTTGAGTGAGGTCACTCTATGCACATTGCTATGCGTTTTGAGAGTGTTTACCTTACTCGGAGGAAATCATTTCAAGTATGTGTAGCTTAGATTCACAAGTCATCGTTGTTACTTAACATGTGTTTTTGTTCAATTCCTTCCTTTTTTTTATCTTAGAAAATACAAACAAGTGTATTTAAATAGCTATTAGAGGAGTTGCTTTATTTCTCTGAATATGCATTACCCTTGCAATGTATCCTGTCATTTTTTTACGTTTTTAACCCCTTGCCAGTTTAGACCATTTCCCATGATAAACTTTTAATATACTTTAAGAAGAAATTCAGAAGAATCCCTTTATTGTGTAAAAGCTTATAACTTCCATGGCGCAAGCTGATGATTAATATGTAGAGTTTAGTAGAAAATATGCCAAGCAGTGCTTGGGGCTACAATGCTTTCTATTACTTATTATTTTTTTATGATAGGCTTTAAAATTATAATTATTAACGTTGTTACCTTTATTCGATTTGTATGTGTTTGTCACATTTTTCATCATTTTTTCCCCTTTTGGACGATTTAATCCTTTTTCAGAGACATCTCAAAATGATTCTATTCACCTTGTAGTATGCAATGTAAGGCATCTACAAACACTACCTTTACGCTATGACCATCTTGTGGGACTTATATTTAGAGCTTTTAGTTTCATTTACTGTACCTTAGCCGTTTCATTAGGTCATCCCACATATAGCTATATATATTTATGTATATATAGCATTATCATCGCTCTCCCTTTAGTGGCATTATGTAGAGCTCTGTTGATAGGGCCTAGTGACAAGAATCTTATTTGTTTCTGGTAAAGTTCATCTGGTTTGTCAGTCTCTTTGACGACTAAATGTCTGCTGGTGGTGAAAATTATTATAAAATAAGTCATGCCTTCGAGAGACGTCTGAACGTGCCGCTCCTTCCAGGGCTCGCTACGGTTGGGCGTTTTTTCCCATCCAACGTGGAGTCTGCCGCGTCTCTCTCCGCCTCGCGTATCCCGCGTCCGGCGCCCTGCCTGGCCTGCGCGAGCACCGGGCAGCGGGTGGTTTTACATAATAACAACACCAACACCGCCTTGACGAAGCGGTCGGCGAAGCTGGGCGAATCCCTCTCTTCCCTTTCCGTGCCCGGTGAGGCGGTGGGGGGACCAAAGGGGGGCGGGGAGGGCTCCCTCCACCTCCTCAACTTCGGGAAGGAAGCGACGGGGCTCGCGGCCGGCCCCTTTGGCGCCCCCGCGGCCGTGCCGGGGCAGCCCCTGGAGGCCCTTCTCTTCGCCGCCGCGACGAGCCTCCTCGCGTACGACGTCGCGCAGGGGCGGGAGGTCTTCCACCGGGACGTCGAGGATGGGGTCCGGGCGGTGGCCTGCCGCCCCACCGGGGAGGTCCTCGCTCTCGTCGGCTCCAACTGCAGCGTCTACGGCTTCGACCAGCAGGGCGGGGAGGCCTTTTGGGCGGTCACCGGCGACGAGGTCAGCGCGATGGCGTTGCTGCGGTGGGGCGACCGTGACGACCCCCCGGCGCTGCTCGCCGCCTCGGAGGATCACGAGATCCGCGTCTTCGCCGGGGAGGAGGTCGTCGCGAGCCTCCTTGAGGCCGGGCGGGTTCGTCAGCTCGTGACCTCGACAAGAGGGTATGACGGGCCCTCTTCCAGCACCTCCTCGCCGCCCCCTCCTGCCGGGCGCTTTGCCTATCTTCTCGATAATGGCACCGTCGGGGTCTACCAGCACACCCAGCGGGTGTGGCGCGTGAAAAGTCAGCACGTACCGGTCTCCGCCGCCTTCTGTGACGTGGACGATGACGGGGTGGAGGAGCTGGTGATCGGTTACGAGAGCGGCCGCGTGGAGGTGCGCAGCGATATCCGGACTGGAAGTGGAAATCGAGGTGGGGAGGTGCTATACCGCGGCACCTACGCCGCTCCCGTTGCGGCTGTCCTCTCCGAAGACTACCGGCAGGATGGCAGGCCCATTCCTTTGGTGTGCACAGTGGACGGGGTCGTGCGGGGGCTGACGCTGCCGTCATCGAAACTAGAGGAGGCAGATGAAGTTAGGAATACCCAGGTGCTCGCGTCGTTGGTGCAACAACAGCGGCTCCTGGAGACCCAACTATCCGGCATCGAGGAGCAACTGTCACTCCAACAAAAGGGGGAGCAGGATCTAACACTTCCAGAGGCGGGACTACGGGTCGCCCACACGGCGCGCTATCGGTGGGGTGGTAAAATGTTGGAGATTGTTCTCAGCCTTCACAATGCCCCTGAAGACGCCGTTATCCAGAGCTGTGTTCTGTGCACCGACAATACGAATCTCTCAAAAGAGGGAAGTGATGCCGTCTGCTTCTACGCGGACAGCCCATCCAGTTGCTTGGTCTGCCCGGTGGAGTACACCAAAAATGTCGCTACTACGGTCAACGCACATGTTTCGGTTGGCAGCGCGTTTGCTGCGAATTACCAGGTTCACGAACTGTCCTTTCGGATTCCGCCTTTTATAGCTTATCAACCCCGCGCGATGCGGCCGGAGCAGAATTCTCCAGCCCAGGCTCCTGTTCTTCCCTCACAACCTGCCGGGTATGTAGAGATGTCCTATCGCGAAAATCTACGAATGGACGCTCTGGAGACGTGGCTTCGGGAAAACTTTTGCATCCCGAACGGGTTCGCCCTATATGACCTAGATAGTCCTGTCAAATCGGCACTGCGCGCCGATCTAGTGAGCGCACGCGGTGATGGCTCGGTGGTGGTCGAAATAAACAATCCTGAAGGGGGTTACAAGACTATCACGGTGCGCGCCGACTCCATGGGGTGCTGCGCCGACGTGATCGCATCGCTGGGTGCGGATGTAGTCGGTGGGGTTGCGGAACAGGGTGCCCACCCATTCAAAACCGAGTGCGACTTCCCAGAAGAACTAGAACGGTTGAGGCAAGAGCTCCTGCGAGTTGAAGCATTCGACGCTGCTCGTATGAGGCTAGCCGCGGACATGGCAAACGCGGCCACTACTGTGAAAACACTCCTCGTGCGTGCCGAGGACGCACGATTGCTGGACGATATGGTGAACATGAAAAAAGCCTACACCTCCCTCTACAACGTAAATAGTGAGCTGCTAGATGAGAACACAAAACGCTTAAACAACCATAAGGAGCTCAAGGCTGCCTTAAACGAGGTTAATTCCTTCATTCAATGGGCAGGAAAACTGCGTTTGGGCCCAGACAAGGTGAACGTCATCGCATTGTGTCGAAATGCACTCAAGGAATGGCGAATTACTTCATTGATTGAAATCATTCGCTCCGGATCTGCATAATGTGATAAGTAGTGAAGCATTCACTTGTGCTTACACTGTGTAACCACTATTGATTGTATCGTCGAAAAGAAAAAAGGGGACTAGGGCAGAACACTCTTATATGTAGTGGCAATTTGTTAAAGGTATGCATATAGTAAAGTGATTCATTGACAGTATTGTTATTGCTTTCGTTTCTAGTTGGAAAATACAAGGAATCACTGACAATAGGTCCATCTCTAACGCATTCAGGGAGGCATCTAGAAAAGCTATAACAGTAGTGTTGCAAGCTGAAATGAGTACAACTGGTGTCTATTATTGTTATTTATTTGTTCAATTCTTGCCTAAAATTTTCCTTTCATTCCTTGGGTTGTACTTGGTGGATAGGAAGTGTTCATACTGTTCGTAGTAGTATTCTTTGTCCTTGGTTGTTGGCTTGTAGGGGAAGGTATTCATTATTTTCAGGTATAGCAGATAGGTAGGTAGCATTTCGTTAGGAGTAGTAAAAAGAGAATAACAGCCGAAGTATATAGTTTGAATAGGAACTATTGTAGCTATTCCTCCAGTAATATATCATGCTAAGGTATTTTACTAGCAACGTGCTTAGAAGGGCGACAGGGGTGCGCTTCGGTGCGGTAACCGCTGCAGGCGAAAGAGTTCACTCCGCACCCTCGGCTGCCACTGCCGCTTCTTCCGGGCCCTATCAGCCGGCATACTCAGAGATAAAGGGGGCCTCGGACACCCCCGTGTTGGACCAGCTCATAGGCTACTATGTTAACATACAGTCTCGTAAGATGTACTATAAAGACTTTCTTCGGATCGAGCACCAGGCTGTGCGTTGGGCCTTCGCGGATATTCGCAAAAACAGCGAGGCACTTGCGCATGGCTTGCTGCAGACCGGTGTGCGGCCGGGAGACCGCATCTTGGTGATCCAGCCCTGCAATTGCGAGACGCTCGTTCTACAGCTCGCTTGCGCAAAGATTGGGGCTCTGGCGTGCGTTGTACCCCACACAACCATCAGCGCAGATAAGCTTCGCTTTTATTTGAACGAGTTTCAACCGCGTCACCTCATCGCACGGGAGTGGATTAACGTTCCAGAGCAGAAGCATGGTGAGTTGGTAGAGCGGAACATGCACTTCTGGGATACAATTTACAACGTCATACCAGATCTGGGTCTGTCCTATCCCGGGCAGAAATTCCAATGGGTGCATTCGCAAGAGTTCTTTTATCTCAAGAAAGTTATTATCACTGATCATAACATGAATCTTTTAGGCGTTACTCCAATGCGGAAGATTTTGGTCTGGGGTCCCTTCTCTTATTACGAGCAACGACTCCGACGACTCTCAGCTCTTTTGCACCCGGACGACCCAGTCCTGGCTCTCGAGGATCCTCATCCCGCAGCGGAGGATAAGTTACACATCACCTTCTCGCACCGAAACTGCGTAAACGCCGGGTTTCTTTTCAGTCAGCTACTGAAATTTATGGCGGAAACTCGTTTTGGGGTCATGCCCAATCACCACACAAACCCTATCGGTGCAATCATTGCTCCTTATGCGGCCATCACATCCGGTGCTGTGCTCATACAAATTCACTCTGATATGTTCACAGACGACCACGCTATTAACGCTATTGAGAAGCTCTGCGTGGAGGAAGTCGAGACACTCCTAGGAACCAAAGCGGATTTCGATCTCATCCTCAAACACGCCGGGAACTTCGATGCCGACCAGTTTGAGCATTTGAAGTACGTCGTTCTCTTTGAAAACGTAGTCGAGGAGTCAACATCAGTGGAGTATATCAAAAAGCTTGCCGAGAGTTTGAGCCTTGACGATGTCTTTGTGTTCCGTGGCCCGTTGGAGGCGTGCTATATGTTGTCGTGGTGGTCGCTGCGTGAGGGCCCCTTGGGGATGGTGCCGCATGTAGAAGTAAAGGTCGTCGGCGACCGTGGGACGGGGGATGCCAAGATCCTGTCCGCCGGTCAACGGGGCAACCTAAAGCTTAAAGGGCCACACATTACACCGGGGTACTACAATAACGCCGGGCTCATGACGGAGATGGTGGATGAAAAAGGATTCTGCAGCACCAGCCGTGAGGCAATTATAGACGAGGAGGGAAAATTAACACTTAAAGAAACCCAGTTATATTGAGCTACCTTTAGACACGAAAAAAAAAAGTAAAGAACAGATTATGCGTGATTTTTGTCGCTTTTGTTCAAAGCGTTTCGTGTGAATTGAAGAAATTTCGGATGAGCTTAATGACGATGAACCAAGTGCCTTTAATTTCTGATCTCACGAAATATAACCTTCAGAGAGTTACTCAGTAAGCTCAAAATGGATAGCTACGTGGTGGGATCTATAAGAAAAAGGTCCTAACTGTAAAGAATTGTCCAAAGGTATTTTCATTTATTCGTTTATTCCTCTTTCATTCCAAATAACTACTGCGTTAGAAGTTCTGTATTGCTGACCATTATTGGTATTTTTTTCATTGTAGTGCCGTGTTAGTTAGTAGTAAAGTGAAATAGAAAAAGCAGGTTCCTAGAATACCTAGCACACACAGTTGATCTTCTTGTTTAAATAATATATCGTGCGTTATTTGAATCCCTCACGGACATTCGTTTGTCTATGTGTGTGTTTGTGTATATACTGGGCAAATAGACAATGATTTGCGCATAAACTATTGCACATGATTAAATGCTAGAGTCGCTGTTTGATGGTGTCGGTGCATTCAGATATCCTTCCATTTCGCGTCTGAAGCACTGTTTTTCTAGTGGAAAGGGGTGAAAAGTAGTTTCATTACAATTATGACTAAAACAAAGGCTGAGAAGAAAAAGGTCCGAAAAGAAAGGCGCGAGCGTCTTCACGAGGAAGCTGCGCTCATCCAAAGCAAGTTGCTTGGAGCGTCATTGAAGCCTGAAGAGAACGTGGTATATGTATTGCCTCCAGAGGAAGGCAATGGCACTCTCGACGAGCGAGGTGTCGTATCCCCCACGCAAACGGCAGCAACAGGCATGTCCACCTCTGATGGAATTATAAATAACTCTGATGAGAAAAATGACGAGGACCGAGTAGAGCTTCCTGCGCCCCTTGTTGCAGCAGCCACATCTAAAAAGAAACTATCCGCAAAGGCATCTAGTCGAAAACATCACAAAATGTCCTGGCAAGCGTTGAAACTCGCAGTGGCCGCTCAGTATGGTCCTGATGCCTCTGACATGGTGGAAGAACATGATGGCAACGCTGAGGACCCCTTTTTTACGGTTTTGATGAAGACGCAACGGCGAACGGTTCCGGTTCCGAACCATTGGAATACGCTGCGTTCCTTCATGAGCCTGCAAGCCGATCGCGAGGAGGCAATAGATATTATACCTCCGGAAATCCAAGCCCTAGGCGTGGATAAGCTCCGCGCAACCAAGGACAAGCGCGCGAATCCAGACCAAATTGCCTTCATGACTTGCTTCCTTACCGGCACGCCGCTGCAGCTGAAGACGTTCGGTACCCATCTCTCACCTTTCGGTGACATCTTCTACGAAGGGAAGTGGATTCCCAAGGTGAAATTCGAACCTGGAAAGCTCTCGGAGCGGTTGCGCAATGCGCTAGGGATGACCCCCAACGCCCCGCCGCCGTGGCTGGCCAGCATGCAAGAGATGCGGCGTCTCCCCCCGGCCTACCCGCAGCTCCGGATCCCCGGCCTCAACGCCCCGATCCCACCCGGCGCGCAGTGGGGACGCGGGCATGGCCAATGGGGCGAGCCCCCCCGTGGGGAGGGCAACACCTTCCTCTTCCCAGGCGTCATGGATGAGGCGGTCGCGGAGGAGGACCCCAGCGGCCCGCGGTGGGGCGTCGTCCCACCGTTGCGCCGCGCCGCCGCGGAAGGAACGGCACCGCCCGCGCCCGCCGCCTCGCCATCCCCGTCGGTTGCCCGTCCACCCCCCTCTCAGCCCGCGAGGCCCACCGCGAAGGTCACCCTCACACCCACCCCATTTCGGCCTCAGGCCTACGTGCCGCCGGTCGGCCCCGTCGCCCCCACGCCACGGCCGCCGCGGGAGTACGTCCGAGTCCAGGACAGCGCGGTGGGTGCCACCGTCACGGTGGGCTACAAGATGGTGCCAAAGAGCAGCCCGGCGACGCTGCCGGGGTCGAAACGGGATAGCGCCAAACCGACACCGGGGCGGCAAACCTAGGCTAAAAACGTGGTAGGGGAGGGAGGGAGGGAGGGGGGGCGAGGGTTGTCGTTCGTTTGAGTGAATAGGGCAATAATAAGGAAGAGACAATAGGATGGGGTTGCTCCATGTTTGAAATGTTCGGTTTTCCCGAGTATCTTTTAAAATATGTGCATCGATGACCGTGTATTATCCCTTTGTTTTCGCTTGTGCTATTGTTTTTCGGTAAAGAAGCAGTTTACTTTTCCCTTCATATTGTAAAGATTTTAACCTCATATAATTCGTGCCCAACATACGCATATACCACATTAAACTATGGCCGTCAACAGGGACCGCTACACTTTTCAACTTGCGGAGCTCAAATCCACCAAGTCGTCGGCTTTGGCCTTCGCGGAGATTGCTGCCAACTTTATTCGTAGCTACAAGGATAACAAGTTTTACGACGTCATCACTTCCACCATCATCACCACCCTCCTCAAATCTCCAAACGCCGTTAATGAGGAAGTCCTCAAGAATATGGAGGCAGCCCTCGTAGAACAACAAGGCATACTCATTCAGAAAGAGCGTGAGAAGGAAAAGCGTCCTAAGAAGTGGGTTGCAGAGGTTTACAACTCAAAGATCGATGAAGACTCTGATGAAGAGGTGGATGAGATTGACCCAGATGAAATGGAGCAACGACGCATCGCCGAGGAAGAGGCCGAGAAAGAGGCGGAATCTGAATGGGAGCTGGTCCGGGAACGCACAGAGGCATTTCTTGAGCAGCGGAAAGCGAACGAGATGCTTCTTGCACAGAAAGCGCGCCAGGTCGACACGAAGGCATTTGAAGATCACCTGAAGAATTACGGTGCAGTGTTACTGAATCCAGGTGAGCTTAACACCAAAAAAGGTGGCAAGCAGGGCGGGAAGGCGACTTCACAAATCAGTGAGGAGGAGGTTGGCAAGCTATATCGTGACGTCGCTGAAGTAAGTAAGGAAAAGGATCGCTTGAAATTGGTGCTTTCTATCAGTGATGAGGAGATACCCGACAAGTGTAAAGAAGTTAAGCAGGACCTGGCTAGACTAATGGAAGAAGCCAAAGAAAAGGGTCCCTTCGTGAATGTGAAAGCCAAAACGTCCTTAAGTAAGGCACAGATCTCGCAACTCCAGCAAAAGCTCAGTAAGCAAATGATTGAAAAGAATCGCCTAGCACTTCAGCTCAAAGCAATGGAGGTCAACGAAGCACGAGCAGAGCTCATGCGGGTACTGACAGAGAGAGACTCGATCATTGTGTCAATGGAACTGGCGGAGGCTTCTTAAAACGCGCAACGCATCCCTTTCATAAGAAGGGTCCACTATTATTCTTTGATAGGTGTTGTTATCCCCCTTGATGTTACGTAATTAAGTCCGCTTTGAGAAAAGTGATTTTGCTTTACTAGGGTCTGTCCTTTCTTGCCTCTTTTTTGGTTGTTCAAGATAGTGGTGTGTAAGCTATGCTAAAGGGGATTCCATTGGGCCATAGACTGGTCTCTAAAATAATATTATTTTTCTTTTAGTTATTTATTTCCTTTTAAATAGTATATACATATATATATAATACTAAAAGAAAAAACTAACGAACTGGTTTGAAAAGTATAAGGACTGCGTGCATGTTGACATAATGATGCTCTCTTTTTTTGTGTTAAACTGTCAACCTTTCCCTTAATCTCAAAATAAAGAAGATTCTCTCTTCAAGTTTCAGTGCAAGGGATCAAGGTATATATATTGAATTTAATTCAAAGCATCATGTCGGCGGGGTATATAATTTCTACAGTTATTTTTTTCGTAGCGGCTTTTCCCGTATGCCTACTGGTTTATCGCTATTATACGAAGGTATCCATTCGTAAAATGAATATTTATTGCATCGGTTGTCATATTATCACGTTGTATACGTGTATGGTGCCTTTTCCACTCCTGACGCTTGATGTGGACTCCGCTCTCAGTGTGCATAGTAATCCTAATCAGGGAAAAGAAACGTGGATGCAGGTTATTTGGATTATCATTTTCGCTATTTCCTACACCTTTGGTTGGATTATCTTGCCTATCGCGGAAGCCTACACGGATGTCGGGGACTTCACAGTTAAAAAGGCAATTGTGCATTCTATTAAAGTCAACTTGAGGCTCTATTCGATTGCTGTTAGTATAATTCTTGTTTTATTTATATATATTATGATTGCGAAGGGTCTGTACATTTCCACTTCGAGTATTTTAAGCCTAGCCATATCGCTAGCTAACGCTTGGGGGCTCTTCATGCTCATCATATTCATGCCAGCCGGCTTGGTTGGTGTCCCACGTACACTTTGGAGGTATGCAAATCCGAGAAAGATGCTATACAGCATACTCCTCAGGATTATGGATATTCAAGAAGAACTTGACTTTGCCTCAATGGACCTAGCCTCCATTAAAGCCGAGCTTATCGACATCGACCCGTTGGTGATGGATGAGAATCGGCCTCATCTACAGCAGATGTTGGAGAGTATTTGCGAAGCAGACCGTGAGATTCCCTTATATCACACCGCAGCACAGCGTATACGACCGCAACCCGCCACACGGGGTCGCACAGACGTCTCACTTCAGCACTTAGAAGACCTCAACGAACGTCTCAAATATTCCATCAAGATGGTCAATCGAGCCAATTACCGCTGGGAGTCGGCCGTACGCACATGTAATTCATTAGATCTTATAATTCGTGGTGTCAGTAACACCAATAACCCCATCAAGAAGGCGTGGATGCGTATTCGCCGTTATGTTTATCTAACGGGCTGCGGTATAACTACTATTTTGACCGTGCTTATCCTGTGGAGTGAGCTGGTCTTACCCTTTCGTGAGCTTACGTCAAAGCCGCTCGGGGTGATCGAGTTGTTGATGCACAGCGATATCCACTTTATTATTAGTATTATACTGCTCTTCTACATGGCGTATTGTGCGTATTGGACAGTATTTCGCTTTAAGGTGTTCAACACGTATACTATCTATCCTGGAATCGCTGATAACTCCTCGTTGTGTTTCAACGAAACTTTCCTTATCCGCCTGCTGATGCCACTGTCCTTCAACTTTTTGCTAATATCCGGTCTTTCGAACCCCGACACTGGAGTAGATGTGATGTACGGTCATGTGTACAGACGCAACATGGATGTCAGCGTCTTGTTGGGTAAGGGTGTCAACCAGTTCTTTCCTCTTCTTATTCCTTTTGTTGCGGCAGTAGTGTTCTTCAATTTGATGGGCCGCATTCTCAATATAGTGGGTGTCGAAGTTTATCATCTTGGTGATATCGAAGGTTCCGAAATGCGACAGCGCCTAATTGACGGTCGCAAGCTCGTGGAGGCGGAATTGGGTTACGCGCTCGCTGGTGCGGGTCTACCTGGAGAGGAAACAACAATGAATGGCGTCAATGGCTCGAGCCGTGCTGGCGACACCGCTTCACATGAGAATGATGGTTCCAATGTGCGAGGGAAGCGCTATCGTGAGTATTTGGAGAAAAGGGGGACGATTCAGCCTGAAAGAGGTAATGAGAATGCTTCTGTGTGATAAGGGGGAATTGAAAACATACCAAAAGAATGCTAGCATGGGTGATTCGTATAGGATTAAGTGTTCGTAGCTCAGCTAGTGAAAGCATGTAACGCTATCCTAACCGCTTGCAAAAAAAGATCAGACGAGTTATATATGACTAGTGTATTTTTCTCTAATGATATTAAAATTGATGCGATTTAAAGAAATACAACAAACATAGTAGATTTAAATTTTAACCTTTTGCTTTATTCTAAGAGTATCATATAGGACTTCTCCAGATACATTATCCAGGATATATGCATAAGTCATGTCATCGATACTTGTAGACGCTACGCCATTTATGGCGTATGTTGACCGGCGGGAGTTGTTGAAGTCATTGCGGTCTGAGAGCGAATTTCGGGCGCATCGTCAAGTCTGCCTAAATCACAGTACCACCGTCTACGTTGGTAATCTGTCCTTTTACACCTCAGAGCAGCAACTGATGGAGCACTTCCGTCCCTGTGGCGCGATACGGGACATCGTGATGGGCCTCAGTGAGAGCTCTCGCACCCCATGCGGGTTCTGCTTTATCGTGTTCGAGGCCCAGGCGGCGGCGGCGATGGCGGTGCAGGTGCTGCATGGCACGCTTCTCGACGATCGCGTGATCAGCGTTGGCTGGGATGTTGGGTGCGATGAGAGTCGGCGTTGGGGGCGCGGCGCGCACGGCGGTCAGGTCGTCGACGGTGTTCGACAGAACCTGGACGAGGGACGTGGGGGACTGGGCGCGCTTCGCCGCGACGCGCTCGGCGTTGAGGCCTCGCTTGCGGAAGAAGAAATGCTCGAGTACACGTGGATCGCACCTAGGGTAGTCAAAAGGCGTCTCGCCCCTGCCGCCGGTTCAAAACGGATCTGAAAATTGAAAAGAGAGGAATGAAGTCTCGCAATATTTTGTGGTAAATCCTTGTGTGCGCTTGACGAACCATTCATGGTGTGGACGAGGAGCAAAGTGTAAAACTTTTGCGGTTAAACATTAATTCAAATCCTCGCAGAGCTACCACTGGCGACGTAGACATTATTTCACCATCCTTGCTGAGCTTCCTACAAAGGTGCTCATCTTTGTACCTATCTCTTTTCTTTAACGGAAGGAAAAACAAAGGAGGAACAAATGGCCTTTTTTCTGATCTTGTTGGCCACGATCTTGATCGGTGTTATGTTGGGATCCTTAATGTGGGGAATCGTTGCGCAGCGCGTAGTACCGCCGCTCCGAACACGGGATAGCGGCGGCCCTCTGAAAGTTGGTGTTGTGCTTGGATCTGGAGGCCATACAAGCGAGATGATGCGTATACTGAAGGCTCTACCACATTCTCACTGGGAGAACAGCCAGCCTTTCTATGTGGTAAGCAACACCGATCAGCATTCCGCTCAGCTAGCCCGGGATTTTGAGCGTAGTTCATTCAAGCGCGGAGTCATCTTAAACGTCATACCTCGGGCTCGTGAAGTAGGTCAGAGCTACTTCACCTCAGTTTGGACAACGCTCCTTGCATTCTGGAGCTCCCTCAAGGTAGTGTATCGAGAAAAGCCATGCGTATTGTTGACTAACGGTCCTGGGGTATGCCTACCGGTAATCCTAGCTGGGTTTTTACTCCCCGCATGGTGCCCATGGTACGGTCGTCGACGACCCATTGTCGTGTATCTGGAATCCTTCACTTGTGTGGAACATCTTTCCCTCACGGGTAAGCTTCTTGCCCCTTTCCTGGCCGATATCTTTACGGTTCATTGGGAAGCTGCTCAGGTGGCTGCGGCTCGGATTCGATGGCGGGGTCAGCTATATTGCATAGGAAACAAGACAAAAAGAAATGAAAATGCCGCTGAACCGGCGCTGCATACGGCTGATGCACACCAAGTCGCGTCGCTTCACCAGCAAACCATGACGGGAGGCCACGCGCTCGTCACGGTTGGCTCCACTCGCTTCGACGAGCTTATTTACGCAGTATCTGATACAGCAGTGTGCAAGACATTGCAAGTCCACTTTGGGATCGACAAGCTTCTCCTTCAGTATGGTGCAATGGACTTCAAGCCACCAACAAACCAACCAATGAAGCGGTACGATGATCCTGTTAATGCCCCTGGTGGTGTCTGGAGGGGTACCAGTGGAGGAGTGGTCATAGAGGCCTTTGCCTACCGCCCCAAGCTGGAGCAGTACATATTGAATGCGTCGCTGGTTATCACACACGCTGGTGCCGGGACGATACTCGAGTGTCTGAATGCGAGGTGCCCAACAATAGTGGTACCCAATCGGCGGCTTATGTCTGATCATCAGCTTGAGTTAGCAAACGCTTTAATGCACAGGGGCTACCTTTACTGTGTTTCGTTGCAACAGTTATGCGGTCAACTTCAAACTCTTGATCTCAGCAAGCTATCCGTGTATCCAGGCATCGATGAAGATTTACTTATCGCAGCGCTAACCTCACCACCAGTTCAAAATAAGAATGAATTTGAAAAGTGAAAACATGATAACAGTGTAGAATGAATATAGCTTTTTCCAATCTCCATTATCCCAGTAGTGTGTCACTCCCCTTTGAGTGGTCTATGAATACATGCATTACCTTTCTTGTTAATGTGTGGAAAGGTGAAGATAATGAAATAGCATTTTATTTTGTGGTTTCGCGCATCTCTCTACATGAACGTGGACATATAAATCGTAATTCATCCCCTCATTTTCCTAACTGTCTTACATCGGATTTTTCCTCGATAAAGTTAAAACTTTTCAATTGTTGTGGTGTATTAGGTTGTTCCCTACGCATAATGAATGCAGAACGAGCCGCCTCGGGCATTCTTGACCTTATCAGTGCTAATAAGATATCCGAGGCACAGATAGCATTAGAAAAGGCGCTATTCAAGTACTCCCAAAACAAGAGCGTGCAGGTTGCTGAAGCATGTTTATTGCTTCATAATAATCAAGTCTTTATCGCAAAACAGAAGGCAGAAACTCTCAGTACTCAGGACATCACCGATCCCGTAGCAATTAATGCCTTGAAATGCACTCTGCAACGGTGCTGCGCATGGAAGGCCCTTGCTGCCATGTATGAGCGCACTCAAGTCTCTCAAAATGACAGGAACGCCTTGGAGTCTTTGGCGCTAACGTACGTGCGGGTGCGGGATTACGCCAAGGTTCAGGAGATCGCGACACAACTCTATCGGCGGTTCAACGATTCGAAGTACCAAGTGTGGTTAGTTCAAGCCTGTCTTGGGCAAGTGCCGCGAGGTAGCAAGGACCACCTCGCCCTCAAGCTCGCCACAAAGCTCCTCGAGGTGGCGATCCTGACAGAGAAAGGTGTCATCGTTCCGACGACCGTGCAAACATATGTCGATGTACTGATTGAACAGGAGAGGTACGACGACGCAGTTGCTTTTCTTTGCAGTAAAAACGGCTCTAGGATTGGGGTGCTTGAGACGCGTTTGGAGGTGCTGACGCGAATCCTGCAAGCCCAAGGGCAGCTTGCCAAGGCTAATGCCGTGGCCAAATTTCTTTGGAAACGTCGACCAGAAAACTGGGCCCCATTCGAGGTTTATGTGAACACCCTCAGTGATGCCAGTGCAGCGGAAGTGGCTGGGGAGCCGCTGGTGCTAGAGCATCCTCAACCATGCCAGGTGGTTACTATTGATTGCTCCACGAAGGATAATATTCTAAGTGACGCATTGCAACTAGCAAGGGAGCTCCAGGCTAAAAAGGCCGACCAAGACGATCATAGGCTGCATCGGGGACCTTTTCTCGCGGAACTTTCGCTTTTGGAGCGCCTTGATGCTGCTGCTCTTCAGACGGCGGTGCTGGTTTACGCGCAGAAGTTCTACCGCAACCCGTCTTGCTTCCTAGACCTTTCGACCTTTTTGACAAGTCAGTCGAGCGTGGCAATCCACACTTGGGCTATGAACGAGGAGGCAGCAATCGACGACGGCGATGAGGCTAGCCGGGTAAGGAATCATTACCGCCGTATTTTGGGGCTACGTTGTCTTGTTGCATCGTGGGGCATCACAACTGTGTCGCAACCCGCTACAGAAGAAATGCAGGCGTTAATGCAAACGTGTGTCTCGGCGTACAACGACGCAAAGCCCCTGTCGACATCACTCGCCTGGAGCGAGGAGGGTTTGTGTGACGGGTACATCAGCGTCGCTCTCAACATCGCCCTGCGGGGATATTTAAGCCACAATAAAGACCTTCAATGGATTGTAAACGCGCTTAATATGCTTGGACACGTGGATCGTCGCATGAACAATCCGAGCTGGCTCATTTTTTCGGTGTGTTTTGCACAAATGCTGGGGCTGGTGGATACGGCGGCACTTCACCAATTGGCCTTTCGGAGTGTGCAACATGACACAATGACCCATATAGGTTACTGGCCGTTGGTGCGCGGCTTAGCACTGGAGGAGCTAACTATCTGGGAAAATACGGCTATGGAGCACTACTCACGGCTCGAACGTGACTGCAGTCAACTGCGCACCAATGTATTTACGTATATTTCGTGGCCCGCCATGAAGGACGTGTGCGAATTTGAGAAGAATCAGGAAAACTCCTTGTCTCGTTGGCTCATCATTCCACACGAGTGTGCTTCGAAGCTTAGGGAATGTCAGACGCAGAAAAGCATTATCGAGCTTTTGACGTTAAAAGGGCCGGAGCTTTGGTACGCATCTCAGAAATTCTACGCAGAAAAAGTGAATCTGCTAACCGACAGCACTGATTGGCTTGTGGTGAAGTCCGTTGTGCTAGCCAACATCCACTCCACTGAGGCTCAACAACTGACAGAGACTCTGGTTGGAATGCCTACCTTTGAGTGGCGACTAGCACGTGGTCTCCAATTACTGGAAAGCCTGTTAGTCCTGCATGACATAGTGAAGCTGGAACGGTATCGTCACGAGCTTGACACCGCCTCCAAGTCGAGGAAATCGAACAAAAAGGCTACGCAAGACACAAGTAACATTCAGAGCTCACTCCCGCAGCTGTATTGTCCTTCTCTTTTGAATCTTCGGAAGGGTAAAGAACAATGGAACAGCCGGTTCTCGGACTGCCTGCCGTCGGTCAACACTATTTTGGAAGGGCTATTGTCCTACATTTTATCCAATGGGGCCATTGCGGTGCCGTATGGTAATGCCTTTGAAGATTATCTTCAATCACTCGTCTCAGTGGATGCCTCCTCGGAGAGTTTTGAAGCATTTCTGTATCCCGAAGCGTACATCTTGGCGTCTATGGTGAGAACTGGTGATCGGTCCAAAATGCCCATCAAAGAATGGGCCATGGCCCTGCATCGAGTTTTAGAAGCTGCTCAGAGCCGTTATGAGAGAGGGGTATGGCCAACAGTGACAGTAGTGCCCGATGATCTGGTAGGAAGCTTATCTCAAGAAAAACTGAAGCGCGTCAAAAGGTACCTAAATGATTTGATTCTCGATGTAGCCGCGTCTTCTCGACGAAAGTAGCTCAAATGTTCGTTTGACACCTCTTTAAATCAGTGTGTCATATAGATCAATTCGGACCTTTTCTCTTTGAGCAGTCATCACTGCTATGACATTGGCATTTTTTGTCCTTTAATAACAAAAAAAGGTGTTATAGAAAAAAATGGACATAAAGCAGACAGAATTACTAGTTAGATGAAATTTTTAGACTCATTTTTTAAAAGTAATTCCTGATGCTTTCTTAAAAATTTGCGATATGGGGAAAAGGGATTGAAGAATGAGTGGTCAGGTTGCGTATAGTTTTGTTAGTTAATTATAACATTAAAGAACAAATACTTTTCATGATGAATAAATACATCTATTTTTAATATAAAACATTATGACCTTCTCTCATTATTATTTGCCCACAAGCGTTGTTGTTTCTAGAATCTAATCTCTTTCATTATGTCGAAAGCTCTTTGAGGTCATTAGAAAAAATGTTGACTATAGTTGAGACCAAACAAGGAACGGATACAAAGCGTGATGGCTTCAAAAATGAACCTTTGCAATATGTAAGCAGACTGTCGAGCTCGTCTCTGAGTTCGGCTTTCATGCCATTTCGTGCTCCAGGGAGCTCACGTGTTGCATTTCGCACAACTCGCACGGTGCTGGAGGACATTTTCTTTACCTATACCGGATGTCCTACAACAAAAGATTTTTTTTTGCTTCAGGAAGATGGAATGGAGCTTCAACGTCGTATCAAACAGGGATGGAATATCCCGAATATGGCTCTGGTGCCGGTTGTTCCAGAGCGGCTTTTGGCGTGGCATACAAGTATCACTAACAAGCGTCAACTAATCCATGAAGATACTTTGTGTGATACCCTTTTAAATTTCACCACACAATGCTACCCAAAGAACACGTTCGCACGCGACGAGAAGGACCAACGACTTCTGCTATCCCTTCTTCTTCCACCCTTGGAGGGACTTCCGGTGCCGACGCGGTGCAACGTTGAGGCAACAAATGTAATACGTGACTTAGTGGGCGAGCATCTGCGTCACCTCCTAGGCCTGGTGGATGCTGTGCTGAACTTCAAGGGGCGCTGGGGACGACTAGATGAACGTGAGCGTAGTCGCCTTCATGGTGTAATGAAAGGGGTGACGACCACACGTGTAAACGGCCTCGCCGCCCTGCAGAAAGGCTTTGTCGAGCTAAACTTCAGCAAACTAGACCTATGTGCTGTAAGTGCAGAGATAGTAAACTACACCGAGGTGCGCGTTCTTCAGCTGAGTAACAACAGAGGCCTCAGGCACCTGCCAGTAGTGCCGCCTGCCTGCCAGACGGTGCTGGCCAGTGCATGCAGCCTCGAAACGATCGCCTCCGTGCCGAGGCTGGCCGGGCCCTCTGCAGAGCCGATTTTTTCACGGGTGCTCGTGATGGGACTTTCCTACAATTGTCTAACAAGTCTTTCATTCGTACGCTGTTTTCCTTCTCTACGTGTGCTAGATATTACGGGGAACCGATTAGCCTCCCTCGACGACGTTGTGGCATCCTTACAAGAGCACACAGCTTTGGTGGACATCTACCTCGCAGAGAACCCTGTCTCGCTTCTCGATGGATACCGTCATTTCGTAGTAAAAGCCTGTCAGAGACTAATGCAGTTGGATGGACAGCGCATACGTTCAGAGGAAAGAACACGTAAAGCATCGCTACCTGCAGATGTTATCGCCGCGGCCATTCAACCTTCTGTAAAGCAACGCCCATCCCCCAAAAAAGGTAAAAAGTGTTCCAATGCATTTGTTGCCCTTTCTCCCTTGCACTCTTCGCTCTTGGCTCGTAGTCAATCTGATGCTGTCCCTAACACAGTGTTTGTCTCGGCCCAAATCGTCGCCCTTCGTCAGATATCTTCGCTATCGCATACCCCCTTGACTGTCACATCCATGGATGAGCTGCTTCCTACCCATTCGGACGTGTGGCAACAGGTGGCCAGTGTGGTGCCATGTTTCGATCCCTCCTCGACCCGCGATCCCTCTCAGGGGGATCATCATACCCTGGCGGAGCTCTGGGCTTTGCACAGCCTGGCCCTCTGCCCGGGGAGTTCCAAGTCGGTGCATCACGCCGTGCCGCTCTACACTCATACGTCCTCCCTTAGCCTAAAGGGTGGCTGGGGGCCTATAGTCGATCCCAATAATAATGCTGAATATCACGTGCCCATTGTATTGACAGACGTTGCGCTGACAACAAACTTTCCGACAAGTGGCTCCACGTCTCGGGGCGCAGGTTCAGATCGCTCTGGTTGCAAAATGTCTCCTTCGGTTACAAACATGGCTCAAATGCGCAAAATGGAAGGCCATGCGGCGACGAGTGGTAGCGCGGTAACAAGGGGCAAAGGGCCCGTCCCGATGCTAGCAAAGGAGAACGGAGATGTCTACCGTCCCCCACCATATTGTGCCACCTTTACACGGGATATTCCCATCAGCGAAGAATTGTCGGAGCACCTGGCAAGGGCGATCCGGCTTCATGTAGAAGTCCACGACACCATTGAGCTATCGATTGTAAATGGAATACGTACTCTAGGTCGGGGAAGTAGACGAGAGAGTGCCAGTAGAACTTCACTGGAACTCCAAGGAAGTCGTCGGCAGAACTTGGACAACCTCAAAACCTCGGCTATACATGGGGCACATGTCGAGCCTAGCATAGAGCAGTCGAAGGATAGGGTTGAAACACGTGTATATCAACTCGGGGACATCTTTTTGCAGCCCAGACCCTTGCTAGCGTTACCTTCAACGTCGTTTTACTGCTCTCAGTTGATGTTGACGGGTAGGCTGCTGTTGAGCGAGGCGGACCGGCAGGCTGAACTCAAATCTTTGCGGGAAGACCAGGATGCGCTGCGCAAGGCCTTGGAAGCCTATGCTCGTGCGGCCGAAGCGTCATCCATCGCATCGCCGGAAACATCCGATTTGATGGACAGAGACAACTTGAACCGGTCAGAATTGTCTATGCAGAATCCTCAGTACTTGGTGGTATCCCCTTCTAGTAGCCGTCAAAGTCATCATAATAAGATTAGCTTCCCCAATCATGCTTCCCATTCTGGGATGGCGGGATACCTACAGCGGGTTTTACTTTGTGGCGCTCGAGTCGTGGCTCAGATAACTCGTCTACAGGAGTTGTACAAGGCGGCGAATAACCTAGAGGTGGAGGTGAAGCTGTGCCTCGGACGTGGCCCTATCAACCCATCTCTGCAGGAGGTCGCCCCGCGCAAAGCTAAAGGCACCAACAAGCACAGTGGCCGCTCGAAATAGGGGAAAAAATACGGCAAATGACTCCTTCAAGTGGAGTACAAAAAAAAAAAATCTACTACGCAGAAATAGAAAAATGCATACGGCTTTCATGTAAACACTAAATGAACTGTGGCTTGCTGCAGTCGATGTATAATAGAAAAAAGGTGTTATGATTCTGCTGAGCTTCCAGATGTCGTGGCATGACATCTAAACGCTTGTAAAGGAATATCTACCAATCGAAAAGGCGATGTTTTGATTGCTAACTCAAACCACATGTATGAGACCATTCTCTTTTGCTTAACGTCAATTGATAATTTCAACTCATGTGCAATCATTTTTTTCTTTCGATATTAATGCATGTTAGTATTTGTGGAATGATAACTTTAAACTCGATTAAAGATTTGATGCGTAAGATATTTTAGTCATTCTTCCACCTTTTATGATAAAAAGGGGAACAAAAGGAAAAATTGTTATAGGCTTAAAATAAAGAGCAAAAGATGGTTTGTTACCGTAATGCTGCGTGTCTTGTTCTGGTTGCATTATTCCTTTTAGCTCAGTTTGGTACGGCACCAGTGCGCGGCGAACTAAATACAATTCGTTTGTTGAATCGTCTTGAGAGCAAGCCAGTGTTGCAGTGGTCTGTAAGTGATGTGGTGCAGTGGATGAACCATACAATTGGCTACGCTGAATACAGTAACTACATACGCAAGCATCTAATCGATGGGCCAACCTTGCTGGAAATGGAGCCTGCAGATTTCGAAAGCTTTTTCCCGATCACAAGCCCCCTGCATGTGATTAAAATCCAAGCCCACATCAAGCTGCTGCGTGGGCAATGTTCTTGTCACAATACAACCACAATCACAGGAAAGCGTGACTTTTGGGCCTACATGAAGCGCCACAGTGTACGTACATGGGTTGAGGGTACTACAGCACTATACTTTTCACGTGTAGCCATGCTCACCACCTATCTGTTCGACCACGATTTTTATATAGACATAATACGTGCAGGAGGGAAGCTTGAGGATAAAGATGGTGCAATGGAGGACGCAGCCGTGAATTCACAGGGCGGTGGTGCGGGACTGCGTTTCCGCAAGTTTGTCTACTGGGTTTCTTGGATATTTGCACCGGATCTATATCTAGCGTATCACAGTGCTAGGCTGTGTGCAGTAAATTACTTTCTGATGCCTCTTATGCTCATTCACTTTATCACTCAGGCGTGCAATGAATATTTCCTCATCTACTCGATTTATCATAAAACAGCTTTTACCCCCGGGACAAGTACCCTGGAACGCATTTGGAGCCTATACGCCTATACCATTTTTGTGCCTGTTGTCGGACTCGTGGTGGGGTATGTGTTCCCAGTAATACTCCAGATTATCTGTCTTTTAGTACTTGTCATCCACAATCTAATCATTTTATTCGGTATGTTTATGCTCATATTTATTAAGGGTAGTGTAAAAACGCCACAGGACAATGACAAGGACAAAGATACACACGAGGCGAAGGTGGACACTCATACGAATACAAATGTCACTGATGATAGAAATATCGAGTCTAATAAGAAAATTGACTAGTATAAATGAAGTAATTTTGGAAGGAGATTAAGTAACGAAAGATATATATATATATATATATATATATATATATATATATATATATATATATATAGTACGTA